AACGAATCTTTCAATTCGTTACTCGGTAAAAAAAATATTAATTTGTGCTACAACAACAATGTCTCTATGCTTCCTCTCAGCTAAACCATTTTGCTGTGGAGTGTAAGTACAAGTTCTGTGAACAATACCACTGTCTTGAAGTAATCTGCTCAGTGCTTGGTATTCTCCTCCACCATCACTCTGAAGTGCCTTAATTTTTCTAGTAAACTAATTCTCAACTAAAGCTTTGAAACTCACAAATGCATTCATAACATCTGATTTAGCTTTCAATAGGTATATCCAAGTAAACCTTGAATAATGTTCTATAAAACTCACATAATAAGCATATCCATTCAAGGCCTTGACATAACAAGGCCCCCACACATCAGTATGAATTAATTCAAGAGGATAAAAAGATATGAACTCAGAATGATCAAAAGGAAGAGAGTGACTTTTTCCCATCATGCAAGAACCACATAAAGTAGCATCATCCTTGGACTTAAAGTCCAGATTACATGATCTTAAGGCTCTTTTGACATTTTCATAATTAGCATGACCAAGTCTTTGGTGCCATAATTCAAGGCTGTTACAATCACCAAATTTCAAAAAATAAGAAAAAGGCTGAAAGCTAAGTACTTGTTGATCCTCTTGAGGGCATTGAGAAGACAGAAACTGAGACTGCTTGTTCTTTAAGCACTGCAAGTTGAAGTGATATAACCCATCCTTAAGGATTCCCTTGAGCCGGACCTCTTGTGTTCCCTGGTCCTTAACAAAACAAAAGCTAGGGTGAAATTCAAAAAACACTTTATTGTCCCTTGCAAATTGAGACACACTGAGTAGATTCCTACTGATCATGGGCACATGTAAGAGGTTTTTCAAAACATAAACTTTGGAGTGATTTGGGTGTTGAATGAGGGAGTTACCAAAGTGAGAAATAGTAGCAGCATCTCCATTTCCCATTAAAAGCTTGTTGTTTCCACTGTACTCAGTTGCAATGTTGAGATTCTCAAGCTCATTTGTGATATGGTTAGAAGCCCCAGAGTCAGGGAACTAGCTTGTTTCTGAGCCAACATCAGAGTAAGTATTGGTTCCATGGACTTGCACCATATTTAAACTGGGATTTCTTCTTTGAGGCTGCTGGTTCTGGCTTGTGTTTTGATTTCCATGAGATGTGTCATACCTGTACCAGCATTTATCTGCTGTGTGGTTCATGCCTTGGCATATTTGACATTGTGGTCTATTTCCTCCATTTCTTCCACGGCCTCTACCTCTAGATGAGCCTCTACCTCCTCTTGCACCTTGGAAGTTGTTTCTGTTGCTCTTGAACTGGTTGAAGTTCTGGTTAAAGTTCCTTTGAGGATTTTGAGTGACAACATTGGCATAGGGCTGTGATCCTTCTGAGCTTACCACTGAGCCTTGGTTCATTTCCAGTCTAGATTCATAAGTCAGCAACAATGCATGAACCTCAGCTAAGGTGTGAGGAGGAAACCTTGAGGTGACATTCACAACTACTGAGTCATACTCAGATCCCAAACCAGTGAGAATATGGAGGATTTGATTTTGTTCTGTGACCCTTTCTCCGGCAATAGCTAAAATATCACAATGGTTTTTGATTTTGTTGAGATACTCCCTCATTGACAAACCAGCCTTTTTCATAGTTTGCAGTTTCAGCTTATATTGCATTATTCTAGTTGAAGATTGGCTTGCAAAGTTGTTCTCGATGGCTTCCCATATTTCTTGGGCAGTGTTTAGCCAACCATCATCACCAAGATTCCATCACTAAGGGAGGACATAAGCCAAGAAGCTAAGAGCTGGTCTTGTCTGACCCAAAAAATGTAATCTGGGTTTACCTGAGTCTCATTGGACTGTGGATCTGTCACCATCTTGTCTGGTTTTTGAGCTTCACCATTGATGTACCCTTCGACTCCATAGCCTCGAATGGCAGTAATAACTTGTTGCTTCCAGATCAAGTAATTTGTTTCATCCAACTTTGTGGAGATGAGCTGACTGTTGGGTTGAATCAAAGATCCCATGGCCGCTGCACTTGAACTTGGT